TTTCAGGCTCTCTGATGGGTGATCCAGTGGTGATGGTGAGTCTGTACCCTGAGTTCCCCCAGTCTGTGATGTCTTCAATGGCTTCATGTGGAGAGTTTGTGTTCTTAATGGATCGATCTGGAAGTATGGGCTGTCCTATCACAAACAGCAAGCAGCAGGAAACTCGCATCAGCAGTGCCAGGGTATCTGTATTAAGTTATTACAGTCAGAAAATCTTTCATAGTGTTCCTCTCACACAGTGGGCTCACCATATTTTCCATCCCTCACCATCCTGTTCTCTTAAGGATACTCTGCTGCTCCTGTTGAAGAGCTTACCAATGGGCTGCTATTTCAACATTTACAGTTTTGGGTCCGGATATGAACACATCTTCCCGTGAGTCTCTCCCTCATATCGGTCAGCCCAAGAAAGGCCCTTCTGTCTTTAATATCTGAATGGATGTTTTGGTTATGTGTTTTTGTGATGGCAGTAAGAGTGTGGAGTACAGCCAGCAGACCATGGAGGAGGCTCTGAAGAAAGTTGAGCAGATGGAGGCTAATCTTGGAGGAACGGAGATCCTGCAGCCCCTCAAACATATTTACAGCCAGCCCTGCATTCCCAATCAGCCAAGACAGGTAACACACACAGTCTGACACTTTCCTGGTTATGGCTCATGTTGGGGATGATCTGGTGGTTCGATCACTGGCTGCACACCAGTGTGTTCTTGAGCCCCAATGCACATGATGCAGACTGAGTATGTGTGCGAGTAAATGCTTGATAGAAAGTGCTTGGATATAGAAAAAGATCCTGGAGCCCTTCAAATGTACTTACAACCAGCCCTGCATTCCCAGTCAGCTTAGACAGGTAAGACAGACACTGGCTTACATTAATTTACTGGAGACTTTAGAAACATTAGCTAGAGAAAAGTGCTTTGACATAGAACAAAGTGCTTGTATTCACCCATTTTTGTGAATATGTGAAAGAGACATGTTGTATGAAGAGTTAAGTTCTCAAGCAGAGTAGAAAAAGCA